GGGGGGGGGGGGGGGGGGGGGGGGGGGGGGGGGAGATGGGGCATTTTCCCCAAAATAATTTTCTTGCCTCCCTCCAGTTTTCCCACTCGAAAAAGAAGAAAAACCACTATTCATCCGGGAGAAAAAAATGATATGTATTTTCTACATATTTGTAGATTAGGCCCCATAAAAAAAATTATTAGTTTATCACCCTATCAAAGAATAAAAACTGATGAGGGAGGGGGTTTTTTCTTTTTTTTTTTTTTGCTAATCCTGCCCCCCCCCCATTTTACCAATGATCACAAGTAAATCAATGGTTAGAGACACATATATAAAAAGTCATAAGAATGGAATCAAATTTATATTTAAAAAATACGTTTGTGTTGTACCAGTAAACATATTTGCAAGAAACCCTGAGCTTTTCAAGTGAAAAAATATGGAAAAAGGACCGCTTGAAATAAAGATATATGTTGATTGAAAAAAAAAAAAAAATCAGATTTTTCCCAAAAGTGATGAGGGAGCGGGTGATAAACTAATAATTTTTTATGGGGCCTTATCTATCTTAAAATGATAGAATATTAGTGACTAAAACCCCTAAATTGTCATATTTTTCAAGACATTTTGAGCAATGCCCAACCACACCCACCTCAGACGACCCCTAGCATATTTCCCCCCTCACTTGCCCCCACCCAAGATTTCTGACGCTGTGCCGCCACTGTTCACTAATCACAAAAAAAAATTTAAAATTAGACTTTTAATTGCCAAACTTTGATATATTTTATGGTGAGAATGAGATTAAAGGCTTTGTTTCTAACACAATCTAATTTCCTACAAAGATGAGGCTGACCTGAATGTAGACTTTCCCAAGTCAGGGTTCAATCGGCTTGTAAAGTTGACTGTAAGTGATATGTTAAATATTATTGGTTACCTCCATTAAATATGTACCTGGTTGTAGAACTGTTTTAATAAAAAATAAACCAAGCACAATGAATGTAAACTTGCTGAAACCGGACCCAAACCAGATGAAAATATTGACATTTTCTAATTAATAGTTAATAATAATAATTTATTGACATACACCATTTATATCGGTGGCACTCAACAGGTGGTGCGTCAAACATCTTAACTAATACAAAAGTAATCTTAACAAAACTAAAGAAAATATACAGTAAAGTAAAGGAAAATAAAAATAAAAAGAGACATAAAACACAACAACACAATGTCAATTTAATCTTTAAGAAGATCACACCTTTTTTTCCATGCTCTTTTCGCTAAGGATTTGCAAAATTTGTCGACCAAGATTTTAATTTTTTGATGGAATAAGTTATTGTCATTGCCGAGAATAAAGAGTAATTTGTGTTATTAAAAAATACAATTTTTTCCTTAATTGACTTTATTTTATCAATCATTTATACTAGGATATAGCACTGTCTAGCATGACTACCCTTCTGCCACTGGATTCAGTTATGTTTAAAAGGTCTCTTATAAGGCTTAAGAAGTTGAATACATTCTCCTTCCAATTAAAGAACACGTCTGGGTCTGGGGTTTTCATGGTCTTCGATCTAATAAAGGTAATAGGCATTTTTACTATGAGACCACAGAAAAGTAGTGTTTAATTAAGTGGTTTTTAATTGAAGATGGTCTTTAACTGGAGGTGGTCTATAATTGGAAGTGGTCTTTAATTGGAAGGGTCATTAGTTGAGGGAGATTGTATTTTCTATTGTAAAAAAATATCCTGGATTGAACCCCTGAACCCTCCAGAATCTGAAGGCAAGCATATTAACCCGAGCTCCTCTTTGATGGTACAGATAAATGTCTAATACAGTACATGTTCTTTTATCTATTGCAGTCCCATGATTCATTGTTGTAGTACCAAGAGAGACAGGAAATAGGTGTGCCTAGAATTAACTGCCAAAATCATACATAAGGCATCTTGAATTTTTATAGAAAAATTCATAAAATTATAGTACTCTCAAATTAACAAAATCTGAGAAGCAATCACTCTTTCGCAAAATACGAATTTACCAATTGGGTGGTCCCCATTCTGGCGAGATCAATGTATAGAATGAGTCTATTAAATTCTGAGATATGAAAATGAATAAATTGTAAAAATGTTTGATTAGCCCTAACTCCATTAAATATATGATAGCAGTGGTGGATTCAAGGAGGAGGGGGAAGCTGGCCTGCCATCTCCCCCCCCCCTAATTTTTTTTCCAAATCATAAAAAAATTGAGAAAAAACAGAAAAGTATTTTCAAAATTAAGTCTGAGAGTGCCTTTCAGCCCTAAGTATTTTTGTACCTCCCTGGTTTGAAAACATGATTTACAATAATAAAAAATGAATTTTAAATTGGGTTTAAGTTCAAAGTTCGTTATTATCATAATCATGTTCTTGCATTTTTAAGTTTACAGTTGGTCATTTGAAAACTGTATTTTACTATGAATATGTCAACAAGAGAGCAAATTATTACAAATTATCTTCCTATCAGTCAGAAAACACACCACACTCAACCATGTTATCACTTTATCAGTCAATCCGACGTGTAGGCCTGCCTACATACATGCGGTATCTACCACAGTGTGGGTACCGTTGTCACTTAGACACAAAGCCTTGCTTGAGTACGAACTTTTTTTTTTTTTTAACAAACGAATATTGTACTAGGCCTACCATAGGCTTATTAAATATTACTCACCCAGAATATTGCGTTGAAGAAAAACAACATGCATTTCACTATTTTCATTCCCCCTTCAGCCATTTTGAAAGTTTGATGTGGTTTCTATTCAAATATTCTCACAACTTATCTTTACTGGATCGTGCCACTCGACTAATTGATGAAGCAAAATTGTTCAATCAAACATATCAACTCAACCATCGAAAGAGGGCGTACACCGAATGACGCAGAATCACTTGTTTACAATAAGGTCTGTGGCAATAACACAAACATGTAAAATATTTTATTTTAAAATTGTGCTTTTGTATGCTTAGTCCGTTTTTTTTTTGTTTTTTTTTTTTAATTGTGATTGCCAATTTAAATTCACCACCTTTGTGTGTGCCACCGATCTTAAGGTGTTATTTCCCAAAAATTAAATTATTGATTTGAATAGCATTTTTCCCTACATTGAATTTTAAATCAATAATAACTACAATATATCTGATGATGATTACTTGTTGAAAATCGTAAATGTGCCGTATGTAGAAATATCAGCAGTCTGGTTGAAAAGTGTAAAAATCAATATGTATGATCAATATTTGCAGTTGATTTATTTTACATTGACTTGAACTTCATTTCCTCGCTAGTGTGATAGTGTCGTAAGGTATCAGGCTGCTCACAGCCTATTGAGGTGACATACTTACCGTACCTAAAGTCCCAATAGCAGTGCCAGTCGCGGGGAGGGGTGATCTGGTAGAGCATTTTACCCTGTCGGGCAAGCATGGACCTCTTTGAACTAAAAATATTAATTTCCGATCCAAAAAACGTTATTGTGTTGCAATGGCCGTAGCCAGCTATTGGGAAAGTTGGAATAGTCCCACACAATAATGATTCCATAAAGAATTTTTTTAAGGGTCTAGATTATGCAGTTTTGTGCATAAATGAGTCCACCTTTTGAAAAATGGGTCCATATTTCTCATATTTAGCCGAAAATTGGTAAGGCTTAAAAAAAGGGTCCAGATTTTTCATATTTTTGCGTAAAATGGGTCAACTTTTAAGAAAATGGGTTCATATTATTAGAATTTACGTGTAAAAGTGGGTCCACTCTGATATTGTCCCGCACTGTTTGAAAAACCTGGCTACGGCTTTGTATGATTGTCAATCTCTAAATAAATATCGTCTATCTCTAAAGGCACAATTAACTTTCCTCCTCTCTTAATATTCTTTTTCCTTGCTTTATGCCTGATATTGGAAGTGTACTATACTTTGTCATTTTACTGTAAATTTTACAAAATTCAGCGTATCGCTGAAATATCAAAATCTGTTGTGTTTCGTAATAAACCAGAATACGTCACACGCACACACACAAACAAAAAATCAATAGGCCTAGTTGACAATTAACTAGTCTCACGAGTAAGCACTTCCTACTACCAGCAGACTAAACTGCATGATATTTAGGTGTAGCCAATAAATTCTATTGAATCAACACTTCCACCAAAGGAAAAAGATATTAAGGATCCTATTCAATTCGAGATCAATTTCAATTTTATACCAAAATACTTCCCAAAGAAGAAGAAAACAGTACACGTTGCAATACAATTAAGTTAAAGAAATAATATACGAAAAACGATACAATAAATGGTAAAAATATACGAAAATATACAAACCTGTTAATTATTTGTATATAGGGGCCTTATACACAAATTGAATCAGTACTAATTCCCCTCACAGGCGCTTGCAGGTTTATATGGGCCTAATAATTATCAACCATACTGTATATTGCAAATCTATATTTTTTAATATAAAAAATGATAAATAAAAAATATATTTCTTTTGCCTGCGAACATCGTTTATACAGTACAATTTATCGAATTTCCACCCAATAATTGGAGAGGCATGCCTAATCAACCCTACTAATGTTGGATGTGCAAAAAATACATAAATGAATAAATAAGTAAACACTTAGTTTGAAAAATCCGTTTTTAGGGCTACGTTTGTTTTTGGTTTACAGTATTTTCTTTTTACTATTATAAAACACATAAGGAGGCCTTGCTAATGTGCTATACATCAAATCCACACATGTGGTGGGTCCAGAAATTTGCAGAAACGGATTCCGTCAAGGGGTCCAAACCAAGGGGCCGACTAAGAGTTTCGGTCAGAGTCCCCGAATAAAAATCCATGTAGGTTGACGGGGAGAGTTTTTATGACTTTATATGGCCCAAATTGTTTTTCAACCAAAATAATAGGAATTGGCAACCAAAATAACGTTATTTGGATAGACAAATTTTGGTCCGACAACCTCATCGTGGCTTCGGACGATGGGGGTCCAGGCTTGTCCAATGGTGGGGGATGGGTGTCCTCCCCATCATCCTGCTGGTGCCATCCAATCTATTATAAAGGCAGATACACCAGTAACAATGCTTGCAGTGGTGTAACAAAGAGGTTTGACGCCTGTGGCAAGGGATTCCTCGGGTCCTACTTCCCTGGGGAGGGGGTAGCACTCAAAGTGTTTTGACGTTTTAAGGGGATATTTTTAAAGTTTGTTTTTACAGAACTAACTGATAAAGAGCCCTACTATGGCTCACAGTCCTGCAAAAATGTAATAGATAGAGCCCCAGGACTTAGGTTCTTGGACAAGGACTGTACAGCTTACCAGGGGGGAATTTAGGGGGAAAAGTAAAAAAAAAAAAAAAAAAAAAAAAAAAAAAAAAAAAACAAACAAAAACAAAAACAAAACAATGGAAAAAAAAAAGAAATTATTGACTGGTCAAATCGCCTCAGAGGTTATTTCCGGGGGTATATAAAAAAAAATTCCCAGGACTCCCTAGGGTGGTGTTGTCTCTCGATCGAACATCTCTGGATCTGTTAGAATGTCAATTATTATTGTAGTAGATATATTCTGTAATAGCAGGCCTGATGTTAGCATCTTAAAGATGAAAAAAGGTCTCAGTCGTCGCAAAATAAGAAACATAATAGGTGAGTAAAAAACAAAAGAAAACAATAAACGACAATGAAAGAAATTTTTTGATGGTTTCTGGAAATGAAAAAACAAGAAGGAAGTTGATTTCAAAGACAGGATGTAAAAGGAATAATATTTCTGATTATGATAGTACTGTATTACATGCTAACGAGCTGAAAAAACACAGTGCGCTTGCTCAATAATAACCGAGTATATGTTATAAAAAACAATTCCACTACTGTAGTGATAAGGGCAGTATATGATCGATGGGTCACAAAGTACAAGTAAAGCACAGAATACATTTAGTTATGATAATGACAATAAAAGAATCTTAAATCTTGATTATCTAAATTGAATAATGGAATACAGCAATTATAATCAAATGTTTGTAATGCACCAATTTCAAATAAATGATTGATGATGCAGAAAGTACAGTGTATAGATAGTCACCTTAATAATTAAAATATAATACTAATGATTATAACAAAATGTTTTTAATGCGCTAATTTAAAACCGATTATCTATCGCACAGAAAGTACACCTAGAGCAGAGAATATAAAAAAACGGGATAATATTAATAGTCATACTAATTTCATGATTGATTGATGGTGCCAAAAGAATCAGCAAAACCTAATAAAGTAGCATAATGCCGGTTTTCCCCTAGGCGAATTTATTCGCGCAAATCGAAAACGTTGTTGATTCGCATTCACATTTCTATCAGAGTTTTCGCTTAAGCTAAATTGTTAGTTTGAACTATTTCTTTTTTGCGAGGCAAAAAATGCGCAGCCAACTCCCCTCCCTCCATTAGACGACGCGATGTCGTCTGCTGATTGTCAGTGGCAGTCTGAATGGGTCGTCATTAAAAACGATCCGTAGCGCATGCGTTGTTGCATTTTAAACAAAAAAGTATTGGCCAGCGGCCGTTGGGTGCAGGGAGTGCCCGTCTTAATAAACAACGATATAACAGAAACAATTTACTTTAAACAAAAAAAATGAGGAAAAAAAATCTTGAGAAAAAGATTGGGTGGTGGGGAGGATGTTATTTGGAGATATGTTTTTCAAATTGGTCTTAAATGAATCCAGAATGGATGAGTTTTAAAGCCAGGTATATTATGTTGTACAACTGATTTTTATAAGACACAAAAGGGTGTCTGACGAAAAAAACTTAGGAAGGCTTAATGGAACAGATTTCTGAATATTTACTTAACTGTTACAGAGTTTTTCATCAAACACCTTTCTTGTGTCTTCGAAAAACCAGTTGTATTTAACATATCAAATTTACTATTTCCTGCGGAGCTTGGCTTTAAGGGCAAAGCAGGTCATCCCAGACAGAAATCAAATAAACACTATATAGACCCATTGAAAAATTATTGAAATCCCTTTAATTATCAATGTTTTGGAAATGTGTTATACTTCAACGATATGCCCATGTGTATAAGGTTCTGCTGTAGTGTCTCTATGTCTTGATCTAACTTATTCAGACCTTCCTGGAAAATGTATTCATCTCTTGAGGTAACCGACGACACCGTAGTTTCTGACGGTGTACTATCAACAGCATTTTTGGTACTAAGCATCATGTTTTCTAAAGTATCAGTCTTTAGTAAAGTAGGCAACATCTTTGGTCGATGAGATTCTACAATATATTTTCCACTTCTGAGAAAAGCATCATCAGATTTATGCAACATGTTTTCTGGTCCTTTTTGCATAATACGTTCATGTAAATTTTGAGACGCATGGTCCAAGAAATCATGAGACAAATGGTCTCTATACAACACATGGTCATGTATACCATGTAATGAATGACCATGTAATAAATGCTCATGTAGATCGTGTGATACATTGTCATGTGAAAGTTGTTTAGGTCCAGGTATTCTATTGGCCTCATAGTCCTGAATATCATCAGGAATACCACCAGGCTGAATACCACAATGATGTGTCTCTTTAAATACTGATTCATCCTGAAAATTGGGTATAGATATATGAGAGTCTGATTCATAGTTTGGGAAATTATTCAATGCCTCTTTATATTTGTCTAAATTATCGTCCCTCCCTCTCTTATCAGTGAAAAAACGTTCAGTTCTTGAATTTCTCTCTGTTTCGCCTACATCAGATTTGTCTTTCACCATCTTGCTTAATGGATGTTGTGAGTTCACCCAATCTGATGTGTATCTACATGTAGCGCCCTCTGTATCTTGTGTCCAGGCCGTAAGGTGGGCTGATTGCTGCTTTCCTGAATGGTTCTTTAGTTCTACTAACAGGGAGGATATGGTTTGCTGTAAACTCCTGTTTAAAATTGACAGAATAATTAATCCCATTATAATACTTATACAACAGTTAATGGAAGAAAGCAATTGCAAACAAGAACTTTAAATAACTTTTTGCTATAATGTAAAAATATATTGTTTATTGTCTAATCTGATACTAAAATCAAATCAGAATGAATTCTGCATTAAGCATTGTTTAAAAGATGATTTTTACATACTGTAATCATTATACTGCATCTGAATCGTAAAGTCATTCCAAAATTTCAAACTAAGAGCTGCAGATATCTCATTCACCACAAAAACTTGAAAACACTTATTATATCATTTTAAATATTATATATATTACTAGTGTAATTATAATTAATATTACTAACAAAATACCATAATGTGTTTATGACAATAAAGTACATCTTATCTTTAATCATTATCTCTACTACCAGCACCACCATAATTTCATGAAAAAACACACCGGTACCAACAGGTACAATACAGCCCTAACCTACAGTATGGTCAACTTTATGGGAAGAAAACTGAAATGGGGCTCTGGGTGAAAAACATTTTTTGAAATGTTGTAAAACAGATTTTGCTAAGACACAAAAATGATGCTTGACGAAAAACTCAGTAACGGTTAATGAAACACAGATTTTGGAATACTTGGAACTGGGGAAAAAAGGTGGTGGTGGTGGTGGTTGTGGTGGCTTGTGTCTTACAATAATCAGATGTACAACATATCACTTTTTTTCCCTCTGTAACCTAGCTTTAAAGTTATTCAACCAGGTAGTTGACGGAGTCAATGTGTTATTGTTCATTCTCTTGGAATTGATATACCATAGCTCAGAGCTATATCAATTTCTCTTTCTCTTCCCATTTGGTTCCATATATAAAGAAGATAAAATTGTCTACACAATATATAATTTGACTCTAATCCTCTCATGCAAGTCAATATACAGAACCACACAACGATAACTAGTATCATTATTACTAATATTCTTGCCGATTGTTGTGTTTAAAGAATGTACAGTGATTTATTGACTTACTCATTTATTTCTTTCATTCGTTTAATTTCTTCGTCCTTCTGATTAAGGCACAACTCTTTAATATTAATTTCTTTTTGCTTTGCTTGCAATTGAAGCTGTATGCACTGAAGGTCAATTTTATTTTGACCTAATTGTTTTGCCAATGCTTCACACTCCTGCTCTAAAACATCATGCTGTATCTGAAATAGAAATACAAACACTTTCCATTAAAATACACATCAGTAGCAATGTAAGCTTATTACTGTGGTAAATAAAAAAAGTAATTATGAACTAAAAGAAAATAAAAAACTATATATAAAACATATGATTCTGGACATAATAGACGACAGCCATAATATTGGTACTGGTTTGAGTGCACGTTCGCCTATGGTTCTGGTGGTAGGACAAGTTTTGCCGAAGATAAACTGTAGGCCAGTGTACACAATTGTCTCATGTGCACCTAAAAGAAACCAGCACATTTTTTTCAAGATGAGCAGGGGGGGCAAGATGAGCAGGGGGGGGGGGGTTACAACTCAGACACAAAATGACTCTTAAGGGAGAAGGATGTTACTGTACAGTACAAGCTGGTCATTGCCTTGTCAAGTATGATGATTCTCACATCAGAGAGGCTTGTACTCATTTGCAGACAGGTAGATAGAAGAGGTACTTAATTCGTTGGTCCTGTATACATCTTATAGAAAGTACTTGGGTGCAGGCAAAGAAAGTACTTGAGTGCAGGCTTAGAAAGAGAGCAGAGAATGATTCCCGGTGTACTGCATGATTAACCACTAGTGGGAGCACTGTACAGCATCCCATGCGGCTTAGCCAAAATTTGATTGAGGTTTGCCATCCCAAAACCAGCATACTTTCGATAAATGTTCAACTGAGTAGTTAGCATAAGAATGTGCCAGTATTGTATACTTTAGTACAGAGAAACCATAATACTTTTACTCGTAACTTTGGTAATAAGTGCAGTAAATGATGTATCATTTTAAAGCTTATAATGTGGAGAATATGAATTAATTATTAGTATTATTATTATTATTCTTATTTCAGTCACTGATGCTTATTTTGGCATGGCAAGCCCCAACTGGTTTTACTTTATTTACTTAGCAGTGATACCAGTATGGTATTCCTACCTGATTTTCATCAGTGGACAAATTTTCTTTCACAGATTTGCATTTTTCTTTTTTCATGATTTCGTTTTCTTTCTTCAATTTTTCTGTGACTTTCTGCTCATCTTTGAGTTTGAGTTGTAGAACCTCCACCAAAGCTTTTGAACTCAATACTAACGAGAAAAGAGCAGCAATAATTTTAAAAAAAAGATGATTTTATAAGGTTAAAAAATAATTGACAGTTATCAAGCACTTAATGCTGCCACAAGAAAAAAGTATTTACATATTTTTGTCCAGATATCAAGGTAAGGCCTACAACACAGAATTGAAATCGGAAGCAGTTTAGCGCATTAAAAATGGTTTGGTTTCCCAACCGAGGTTAGAGTTTGAATCCTTCACTGTGCATTTCGATTGTGTCCTTGAGCAAGGCACTTTATCTACATTACTTCAGTCTACCAACCTGTATCAATGGGTACCAGCAAGTTACTGGGTGTAACCTGGAGTGGACTAGCTTCATGCTACATTAAACTGGTTCCAGCATTATGAGCCCTGTGGCTCCTCAAGGATTTATTTATTTTTTTACACAGGTGTGTAATTGTGTTGTCCAATACTATATGCACCCCACACATCAAAACCTGAAATGTTTGGTAGCCCAAGTTGTAGTTTTCGCCATTTACACTTACTACTGATCTGAAGTTTTTAGTTCGTGTATTAGAAAATCATGGGTCGTGTCCAAAGTTTTGCTTTGCAGTGTAATACTCTGCAAAAAAAATCTGGACACAACCCAAAGTTTTGCTTGCAGTGAAAAGGGGTATTATTCATGTTCTATGTACAGTACTCACACTCAAAACTTGGATTATCATGCTCTTTTAGCTGGCTTTCCACATCACGCATTTTTTGGTTAGATATTCGTAATTTCCGCCGAAGGTGACTGTTTTCATTTCGCAGTGGTTGGAGGGCAAGTTCAATGTCAGTGGGCAATGCTTGAGCATGGGTGGTATGATGAGGAATCGTGTTCAGCGTTTGGTCCATCTCATTCAACAACCGCTGTGTTTCAACGTCACCTAAAGTTAAGAATTAACAAAATAATATTAATAATATTTTTATACAACAGATCTGATCATGGTCAGAATATTTATAATATAAAAATGTCAAGAATAAGAAATAAATATATGATAAATTGATATAACCTTGCTGGTACTGACTAATTTACTTTTAATTATAATACTAATCTAGAGCTGACAAAATACACTAGTGGCATTTACATAAATATAAGCCAGGCAACTCAATGCGTTGTACGACCGTCAGCTGTCTAATCCAACTCCACTTCCCATGAGCACTGGGCAACGCCATCTGCTAAATGTTGGTGGCGGTCTGCGCGCACATGGTGATGTGGAATTCTGCATATAAATAAGCAGCTTTCAATTTGGACGATGCGGCGTTCTACGACAGGCAGTGAAGTGTAAAACCGTACTGCGCATGCGAATACACGGGGAAGTCGTTTTGGCATTGTGTTGACTACGGTAATGCAAGTTTTATAAATACGCGCTCGCTGGGGGCGCCTGCATAAATGATCACGCGTCATCCTGTAAATCGAAACAGCTTTGATGTTGAGATGGGAAGTGCATAGTATGACGTTCATGGTTGACCGAATTCCCTGTCGCAGCTCTCCGCGTCGCCCATTTCGAAAGCTCGATATTTTTGCGGTCGACTACCGTTGGGGGAAGTGGGTGCCTGGATTTATGAAGAAACAACTTACAGTTAGCTTGAAGTAGTGCCTGCAATTCACCCATTAGGTACTTGGCTGTCCTTAGTTGATTGACACATTGTTTGCTTAGAATCTCATCTCCCCCTGAGATCGCTTCAGATTCACTAACCCTTGCAACAACAGGTGACTGACAAGCAGGAACCTCAGCATCAGCCGTCCCCTGGTTAGTGGGTGTGACATCCCCCTCCTGTTCATAATCAGTTTCTTCATCCGTCTCAGAAAAACTTTGGGAGAGTTTTTGCTGAGGTGACTTTTTCTGTTTTGTTGAATATTTACCTCGCATGCACACATTTCTCTTCATTTCTTTCGCAGACTGTTTTACTACCTGTTGATATGGTTTTGGCTGGGTATAGGGGACGGATTTCTTTGCAGGGTTCTGGTGATTCTGATTATCACGGCTTAGAAGTGTTTCTGGAGGGAGCATTTTCTTGGAGGGAGTTGATGTCACCAGTCGCTGATGAAATGCTGTAACTCCCTGTGATGCCATTTTTTGACTGGAACGATTCTCTTTCTTTTTGATTGGATCAACTTTCACCTTTATACCTATAACATAGGATCATGTAACTCATTTTAATTTTTTTTTTTATAGAATAGAACTACTACTGTGTCAAAAAAACTACTGCATTCATAAAAGTAATGAAAAATTAAATACCTTTTTTCACCGTAACTTTTTGTCTTCCCTTCTCTACCTTTCCATGTTTTGCTTTCATTGGTTTATGCTTGGTCAAATTTCTTTTGTGATCTGTCATGCTGGGTGCACTATATTTAAGTTGATTATTTGGTGTTTCTCCTTAAACAAAAATTTACAAAAAAACATGGAAAATAAAAAACATACTAGTATTTATAATTGAATTTTTAGGAACAATATTCTACATCAATTTATATTAACAATATTGAAACAGAGGAAAACATATTTTAATGATAAAAGTTGCTTTCAAGTAATTGGAATGTAAAATGACATCAATTTAATATCTAAAAAAAAAACATACACAAATACATACTGCAAATACATTTGATATATAACGTTAATTGGGACTTTAAATCGCATTACTCCCGTATGAGGAACAGTATTGCTACCTTCAAGAATATTCGCAAGAAGTGCAGCACATCGGTCAAGTCCTCTGTTTGTCACTGGAAGAGGATCCTCCGAGTCAGTGGAATATAAAGAATAACCAGATGTTGATGGCTGGGCCGCAACATCTCTACCAAAAAAAAAAAAAACATGGCTACTGTAGGGGGTTAATAATGTATTATTTGTGACCGGCTTTGGCAAAACCCACTATTTGTCGCAAATTTCTAATTTTGCACAAGCACCCAAAACGTTCAGTATTTGGAACATTTTTTTGGTTCTGCATTTTAGAAAAAGAGATATTGAAGAACATTTCTGCAAATTTTCAGTCACTAAATATAACTGCTGAAAAGTATACTAAAATTATTTTTAATATATAAACCTTAATGAGAAGCTACTGGAGTGTTTTGGAAGCTGTTTTCTCAAAACCTACATGGCTGATAAACAATGAATTAAACATTTATAACTTTGCTAATGCTCAAACGATTTCCTTCAAAGAAACATTGAAGAATTCATGTAGAATCTAAAAATATCAATCTTGAATTTTTCCTACAAAGAGCTGGTTTTGCCAGAGGGGGGTCACATTTTCCTAGCTCAAAATGCTGGAGTCTCTATATACTGCAAATAGCATGCTTTAAGCTGATGCTTACCTTTTGTTCTGAGATGGTTTCTCAACCAATAAACCTCTTGAAATGAGGGATTCCTTACTTGGCTGAAAAAATAAAAAAACACATAATTTAAAATAATCATACACATCTGTTTACATCAAGAAACAATTTTCATCCAAATCCAAATAAAAGCTTAATTTTGCTAAATATTTTCATTCAAAATTAGCCAAAAATCTAGTGGAATTAAATTATCATTGCTTAAATATTCTCTTGGTTTGGCTAATCATATCTCTATTTGGTTAATTATTTCCATACCAAATTACAGTCAAGTTGCCAAATTATTGTTTGAGGTCATCTCAAACCCTGTAAGCTAGGATAGAAGCTTCAGACTCAATGAAAGATTTTTAGGATCAAAATAAAACAAAAAATTCAATTAAAATTTTATGTAAATGGGACAGTACACAAACTACTGTATTAACAAGCACAATGAATGGTAATCCCATTCAAGATAATAATATGAAAAAATGAATGGCATTTAAGCTAATGGGAAACATACAAATACAGTACCTGAAAAAACAGACAAATTACGGTAATATGAAAAAACGAATAGTATTTAAATCAATGGGAAATATAGATACCTGTACAAATAACTGAACTCATTTTACTACAAACAGTACTGTGCTTACAAAACCTGAAGGGTGTCATAACATAGTGGTATGATTTATGCCAGACATACGGCTACCAGTAGATTACCAGAGAAGATTTTGAGAGCAAAATGGAGTACGTATTTATTCAAAAAAACACCCCGCTTTGAATAAACACTTCCTCCAGAGCCTCATTTTTAATAAATGCATCACATCACAAAAAAAACTCCCCCTCAAAAACCATTCTCAACAGTAAATGCCTCAGGGTGTTTATTCGAATAAAAACAGTATTTTTTTCCAACTTCAAGAAAACATGAAAAGACACGTTATTAAATTTTGTTTCATAAGATAAACTTCTCAAAAAGTGTACACAAAACTTGATGTCAATTTGTGTACCTTTGAACCATAGGATTTCCTTGACAAATTCTTCATCTCTCTGGGTCCAGTCATCTTCTTCATTCATACCATATCTAAGTACCATGCATGTCTGAAATTACAATTATTGAATATTTAAAATGGTTAAGAAATAAAAATATGGTATGTACTTTATTACAAACCAACTGCAACCTTTTTTCATCCGATGTAGATACGTTTGTTGACAGCAATGTATTGTATAATACCATTCCGACAAGATCTTCGTTGAGAGCAAAATTTGTATGTTTCACACTCCAGATCAAAGGATAATTGATAAAACTTGATTTACCAACTGTCTTCTCTAGCTTGTGATTAAGTTAGTGTAGTGGTAATGAATTGGAGAGAGAAAGGAACAGTGGTGGCGCCAGCGGGGGTATTTTCCCCCGCCAGACAGGCCTGGACTCCCATTCAACGTCTGACGCGGTTGTCGGACCAAAAATTTTAATTTGCTTATCCAAATAATGCTACTTTGAATGCCAATCCCTAATATTGTGGTCTAAAGCATAATTGGGGCCATACTAAGCCATAAAAACTCTGAACCATGTACCAGGGATTATTATTCAAGGACCCTGACCAGGCTCTAGGCAGCATCTTGGCTTTGATCCCCTATCAAACATGTTAAACCCCACTAGAGGCTAGAGCCTAGCCTAGTCTTGTAGTAGAAGTTAGAAGTCCAGCACACTATTGCTGTGTTTTTGCAGTATTTTGGGTCTGACAACCATGTGGAAGTGGTTTAACGCAGTTTGAACGGTTTGGTTTCCCAACATTGAGGTCAGGGTTTCAATCCCTTTGTGTCCTTGAGCAAGGCATTTTATTAGCAAATTTGCATCTCTCCACCCAGGAGTATAAATGGGTACCTGGTAGGGTTAAATGCCAAAATGCGCTGATGTAGCTGCTGCAACGTTATGGAATACTCCCCCAGGGAGCTTGAGTTTGTGTTCCATAGCCGTTTACTCTAATAACTGGGGTAATAATGTGAAGTGCTTAGAGGCCCCGTTGACGTTAAGTGCTGTAATATATTGTTATTATCATTATTATTGCACATGAGCAATAGCCTAGGCTACACATGTATCACTGCTAGTCTAAAACCAGCGAGTGGTATTAGGTGTGAATTTGTTTGGTTATTTTTAACTTTTTTTTAAACCATAAACTACTATGACATGACCTACTAGGCATGCTGACCAGCCCTAGGCTAGTATTAATAATAATAATATTAATAATAATATTAACATTAATATTACTAATAGTAGTAATATTAATAATAATAATAATAATAACAATGATAATAATAGTAGTAACATTACAGCTCTTAAATAGGCCTTTTTCACGCTGCGGTAGACATCTTCGATCAATGACGAACAGTGCTGAGCAGCGAAGCGTAACCAATAGAAATAACATAGCCTTTCGACCATATTTTCGGAGGTCATGCTACTTAATAAAGAATTATAACTCCTTAACGGATGGTCGTATCGACATAGTTTTTTCTTTAAAATGTTCGCAAAGAATATATATAGAAGTACTGTATGAGTAACAAAAAAATTTTAATTTGTTTCGTCTGTCAAAACTTAATTGAAATAATAGCAACATGCACTGTACAAAATTGGTTTTCTATTTTCTAGTTAAGTTTTGACAGACTAAACAAATTTTCAATTTTGTTTTGTTCATACAGTACGTAGATATATCCTTTGCAAACATTTAAAAAAAAAAAAAAAAAAAGACACAACCCTCAGTTAAAGATATACGATTTTTTGAGTAAATAACATGACCTCTGAATATATGGCCGAAACGCTACAGTATGTTATTTCTATTGGTTACGCTTCACTGCTCAGCATTCAGGGGCGTACCGTGGGGGGGGGGGTCGATGGGTGCGGTCGACCCCCCCTTTTAAAGAAAGTGCCCTTTAAATATGATTTAAAAAAAAAATCTAGCATAATTAAACTGCGCCTAACATGAAGGTAGTTAATATCAAAATAAATCATCCTTCGCCTAAAAAATGTTTGGTGGCCCTTCTTTTTAATATTCTAATTTTTTGTCTTTTTTTTTAAACAATCCATATAAAGTTGTACATTTTTAATCAACTTGATATCTCGAAGCCCGTGCGCCAGTAGAGTTGTGTTATGTGGTTAAGTTAAAGAAATATATTAAAATATAAAATTGAAAGGAAATGATAAAGAAAAACTAAGTTAAAGAAATATATTAAAATATAAAATTGAAAGGAAACGTTAAGAAATAAATGCATACAAAATGTTACTTTAAGCAATTATATGTTCCCTATATCATTGTTTATTTTTTCAATACAGTACTGTATTATATACATTTATAACTTTATTTTAAAAATAAAATAAAAGTGGGACGATCCCATGAAAAAGAAAAAAAACCCCATTTTTTACAAAATTCTTTAATATGAAATGCTCACAGGCCCGTATCAGGAGTTCCGCAATCCAATAGGCTGGTGGTATATTGAGTGAATATAGTCTGGTGTTGCCCAAAAACTATGTTTACAATTAGGCCCATTTTGTCAGACTTGGTATTGAACTTAATGCACTAGAATGTAAAAACGTTAATTTTTCCCCTTTTGCGGCCCCCTAGCCACAGCCTAGTTGCTCGCTTCACTAAAAAATAACACACCCCGCGAATTCTGAAAGCTTCGCTAAATCGCTCCAAGTTCAGCTTACGCCATGCGCTTTCGTTTCGACCCCCCCAATAGATTTTTCTCCGTACGCGCCTGGCATTGTTTGTCATCGATCAAATATGTCTACCACAGTGTGAAAAAGATATTCCTAATTCGTACACTTAATTTCCCGATTTTCTGGATGTTATATTTAATATTGTACATCGCGGGCGAAAATAATGGCATTTGTCCTGATGGGGGGATGGTTCAAAGATCTTTGGTTCTCACTCTGCGTTTATTGCACATACGCAACCAGTGAATCGGAATTCTATTCTAACGTTGGGCAGTTGGTGTTGGTTCAATAATAACCACGACAATATAAAATATATCATTAGGCCACGGGAATGAAAGTTGTAGGTTTGCGTCCACCGCCCGCATGCCTAAAAAGCTACCGCATGAAAATTTTCATTATTTTGAAAAAAAATATACTTCGTTTAAAAAAAACGGACTTTCTAAGTGGTAAACAGACAGAAAAACGATCTATTCATCACTGATCACTCATCGCGAACACCGAACGAAGGCAGGCCTGGCCACATCGCACCACGATCGCCGATCACTGCTGAGGTCATTTACGGGTCAAATCAATCTTTCTGACCAATAGGAAATCTCGTATGTTTAAAGAGGTCTTAAATGTAGAAAAGGATCTGTTTTATAGGCTAGTGTACATTTATGACTGTAAGCATTGTTTCTTGGGAATAAATGTCAAATTACCAATGCCACGGCTTGTGGACAGCATTTATAAAAAAAACTAATGAATAATGAAAATGAAAAAATGCCTCATGTGTTTTCAAAATTTTTCGGACGCAAACCTACAACTTTCATTCTCGTGGCCTTATTATTCATTTAGTAATTACATTCACAAATATAAACATACATCACATGGCATGATCGACAGGTAGATAATCCCTCCGGGTCATCAACATTTTTGTCCTTTGAGGGCTTGTTCTCCCTGGACCACCCATTCATATGATTATGAGGGGCAGCCAAGGTCTAACCTACGGCCTAGCTAGCCTCCTCCTAGCCTAGGCCACCGGCCCTAGGCTAGTCTAGTAAAAACACAACTTTTTGACAATCAATAACCTAGGCCTAGGCTAGCTTTGGCCTAACCCGAGGAGCTGTCAAATAGTTTACATTGTTCAGCTCCCAGTCCTAACCCACTAATGAATTGGTAACCTTATAATACGTATATTGTAATCCTTTATACTTACGCATTTTAACGTTTATAAGCAGAAGACCAAGCTTTCAAACATCAGTGTCAATCGTTGTAGCAACATTTCAAATTTCGCTGGCTCTTTCTGACTCGAGGGGGAGTTTAGCCTATGGAACGCCAAAAGAGCATTCTAGACTAGGCCGACTTAAAATCTCGAAAATCTGGGATTGTCTTTTTTGTTGTTTTTTAAAGCAAAAATATACTGTACATATGACCGTCAGCCACACCATGGACCTATTAAATTGCCACCTTGTATCGAGAAAGTAAAATCAAGCATAATTGAAAGCGTCGGTTCATGCGCCTACACATTCAAATTTCTATTGGAGTTCTTCGCTTCAGCGAAATAAGCACGGTTTTTGCGAAGCGATAAAATGCACTAATAATCAGAGCTCAGGAAGAGAACCGGCGCTTTCAATTCGCGCGAATAAATTCGACTAGGGGCAAACGGGCTTAACTTTCGGTTCTGGTGGGTAAAGCCAAACTAGGGTAGGAGTAGGCCTATAACACTCTGACAGGAGGGTGGAAATAGGTGTCGCATGATAGGAATGGTTCCACTGTCGAAGTTTTAGACGCGTTACACGAGCAAGCTTACCGTAGGCATCGCCACTCAGACCCCATAGCAGGGCCGCCGAGAGTGGCCGCGGGCCCCGGGACATCTTCGCTGCCAGGGTCCATTAGTTGGGGCCCCAGCGTGATCGAGGAACAGTACCCTGGTGGCCTCCAATGTGTTACAGCTGTCTCTTATGTGCTGAAAATATTGATAAGGTATCAAAGTTTACAGTGGCGGATCAAGGAACTTGAAATTGTGGGGTGGGGGGGGGGGGAGCAGAGAAGGACTTTCACAGATGGACGGTCTATCTACCTTAGCACACCCACCCACACCACCCACCATGGTTGGGATCTGAGGTAAGAAAATGTGTGATTATGTCACCTCTGGACGGCAGGAAATGGCACTCTTAAGGCCTGTTTATACTTCAACGATAAAGATAACGATAAAAAATCTAAAAAGCGATTGTTCATATAAAAAACAAAAGAAATAAGAGAAGTTTTTACACTAGGACGGTTCGATAACGATTTATCGTGTATACGATAACAAAATATTTTAACAAATCAAATCAGATGACGTCATAATCATGGAAAAACGATAAAATCGTTGCTGCTACTACGATTTTAATGTTTTTCCATGATTATGACGTCATCTGATTTGATTTGTCAAAATATGTTGTTATCGCATAACTGATAAATCGTTATCGAATCGTTTTAGTGTAAAATCTTCTCTTATTTCTTTTATTTTCTATATGAACAATTGCTTTTTAGCTTTTTTTTTTATCGTTATCGTTATCATTGAAGTATTGAACAGGCCTTTAGACTTAAATTTTAGTAGAATTTTTTTTTTTTTATATTTTTATTAAATTTTTGAAATATTTAGGGGGTGGGAGCTGGGCTTCCCCGTAAATCCGCCACCAGCAGTATAATGTATTTATTTAACAATCGAATCTCTATCAGGTTTATTCGTATTTCTTGTAGGCCTATGTATATTGACGTCCAGGGTCCAAGCCTTTTATAATTATTAACAACGTAAATAATTTATTATTTCCTACATTGTAAACTTATACTCTAAAATATTAAAAAAAGTCATGAAAATATTCATAAAAAAAGAATTAGAAGCGATTAATTAATTCAATTCAATTCAATTTCTTTAATACTACACATTATACTATACAAAAAAAGACATAACAAAAGGTGACAGATTGAAAACACTGTCTATAGAGCATAATATTATTAATAACTATGCATTATGGGGTAGGGATGTCACACCGCTAAGGTCTTAATGATTCGCATACCCCAACTTAATCAAACTATGCATCCCGGGGTAGGGACATTACTCCACTAAGGTCCTAATGACCCGCAATTAATTCACAGGAATTGTCATCAATTATTTGCGCACATGAAATCGTGCCTAACCATGTTCAATAGAACGGTAGCATTATTTCTAATCGCTTTGTAGATATGCAGTGAGAGAAAGGATTCCAAAAAATCGAACTAAATCAATATTTAAGAAGTCTCCCAAAGTGCTGCATCCGAAAACCAAAACTCACAAAAAATACTAAAATATTAACATTAATTTATACAATTTTTAAAGAATAATACCAATTTTACGTAATTAACTAAGAACACAGACCATATTATCGTCCGCAGTGAACACGACGTAGAGCGGATGAGAATTGCCTGTGACGGAACACGTAGATGAACGGATTGACGGCTGAACTCATAACCAACAACGCCTCCGACATCAAATCGCACCAGTATAAATCGCTTTCTTGAAACCCAAATAGAAAGAATATAACTTTGATCAAATAAGGTACATAGGCAATACCGAATAAGCAGACGATCAAAGCGCTTGTTTTAGCCGCTTTAAATTTCTTAAGAACATTTGTTTGTGTGCCGACTGTATTTTGAGCAGTTATGGTGCGTCTGTGTTTTCTTGCTTCCATAAAAATACGGAAGTACATTATAATGAATGACATCACAGCTGTGGGAATGAAGATAAAAGCCATGTAACGTTGGACTGCCAAACCTTGTTCGTTCTTCCCGTGGCAAATTAATATTTCCTTAAATCCTTCTCTTTTCCAGAACAACCTGACGCTGCCAAACCCACAGCCTATAATCCAAGAGAAAGCGATGGCACCGTAGACGCGACTTTGAGTAACAAATTGTCCATATCTTAACGGTTTCAATATAGAAAGGTACCTGTCTGTAGTAATGAATACAAGGTGTAGAAACGACGTAGAAACTAAAATTTCCATAGGAATGTATTGTAACGCACAGTCATTATCGATATTATGTAGGTAGGTGGATAAGGATCTCCTCGTGACACACCACCACATAGCGACAGGGACGCCGATTATGCCAGTAAGTAAGTCCGCCAGCGCTAAGCTAGTGAGTAAAGTAAACTGCTGTTCATTTAAACTTGGCGTTCGGTGAATGACTAAAAGAACAAACGCGTTGCCGAAGATGATCACCAAGTCCAATGGTATATAGACAGTTAAAAGAAATATAAGACGAATTCTAAATTCGTTTGTCGTGATGTTTTTATCGCTAAAAGGCTCATCCATTTTTTAAAAGCCGGACAGAACACAAGAGCTAACCGTATTCTCATATTGACCAGGAAAGGAACCCACCTACTGCAAAAAAAGAAATAATGTCACGTGACGCGACGTCATAGTAAATTGACAATAAAACGTATTAAGTGTGCGCAGCAAATACATACAGTAATATATAAAAACACTTATGACAATATAGTTGTAATCCGAAAAGGTACTATTAAAAATATTGAGTATTTCTCAGATTACCGTATGCACCGTTGAAAATATGAATGCATTGTGTCAACAGCATTGCTTACAGAAATTTCACAAAAGTGTTACTGCAACTTCATATAAAGGTCTACAATTTCACACCAAAAGTCATCATTATTATTATGAAGAAAAAAGTATGAATGCACAGCGTTTAAATAAAGATACTATTTCAAATATAAGTATGCAATATGACTTCACTTATCAATATGCGATGCTATACAATTTCACATCAATAATCAACATCAATCAATAAAGATGCTACAATTTCACGTAAAAGTGCAATATGGTGAAATTATGAATGCACAGCGTTAAATAAAGATGTAACAATTTCACATAATTTTCGTCGGAAGGTAGGCCTTATCAAGATGATAAACAGTTTCATTGGACTAAATTTTTGCTTATGTTAACCACATGTTTACCTAAGATTATACTGACATTGGTTTCAAACCACGGTCAAGTAGTTAAAAATCACATAAATCTCCTTATTTTCGAATTAGCGGCCCTCAACTGATCATCGAACATTCCCCCCCCCCCCATCAGTCACCAACCCATTTCAAGACATCTAGATACGCCAATGACTTACGTAGCCAGATGAATTAAAATACTCAATCGATGTGCCACCAAATCATAACCAGCTTTCACCATGCCCTCACGGTGTCACCGGGGACGTAACCGCCAAAAAACTATTTTCGGCAGCGAAGGGACGCTACCAATAAACAAACAACAAACTACCGGGTTTCTGGGTTGATTTGCAAGGTACTACATGGCTCAACTATTTTTTACTTTGGGGTTAATTGGTAAAAATCACACACAAATCATACGACGTCACTGAAAACGCCGGGGGCGGCAACTCGATTTTGAGATTAATTTTCCGGATAAAGTTATACTAAATAACTTCTAAATGACGAACTATTGTCTTCAGTTGTCTTTGTCGGTCATTCAACTGTTATTTTATCTATTTTTTTTCGGTGATATTACCATTCTCAATAATATATACCGTAACACCTACATAACAACGCGTTGTTATGTTGTTACGTTGCAACGTCACGTTAGATCGATCGGTGGGGACGCCGTGGTGACGCCGGTAGGGTCAATTTTCGTCGAAAGGAATCAAGATGTTAAAAAGTTTTATTGGACTAATTCTTGCTTATGTTAACCACATGCTTATCTAATATTATACTGACACTGGTTTCAAATAGTTAGTCAAGGAGTTAAAAATCACCTAAAACCACTTTATTTTGCGAATTAGCGACCCTCAACTGATCATCGAGCCCCCCATCAGCCCCCCCCCCCCATAGACATCTCTAGATACGCCAATGACTTACATAGCCAGATGAATGAAAATACTCAATGGATGTGCCACCAAATCGTAACCAGCCTTCACCATGCCTTCACGATGTCACCGGGGACGCAACTACCAAAAAACTATTTTGGCAGCGAGCCCCCCCCCCCCCCCACTAGTAACTAGTAACGGAAAATATTATGACGGCCCTCTTTATTATTTCTTATAATACAACCTAATTTTAGTAGTCTTATTTTATTTTATTTTTTTTCAGTTTAGGAATGTCTAAATTCAGTTAAACTAGCAATTCCATATTATATTTATAAATTTTTATATAAAAATCAAATTTTTCTTAAGAACTTTTGCCGGGAATGCGCCTTTAAACGTATTATCCAAAAAATCAAATCAGCAATTACCTCAACAACAGCCTGACATAGGCCTACATAATAAAAGTAATAATAAACAAGAAAATATCTGTTGTTTCAAATTGTCGTATGTTGGACAATTCTCCCAGTCACAAACAAACGTATCAACGACATCACTAAGAAATACTGTAAAGATTTGAAAATCAAAATCATTTTTGACTTATTAAAATTTGGTAAACGTAAGATCTCATTCTTAAGACTCAACGCCCTATGATTGTATATCAATTTAAATGTGATGCATGTAGTGCAACCCGGATGGCGCGAAACTACTCGCCAATCCAAACAAGAGCACCTAACAAGGGATAAAAAATTTAAAGTTTTCCAACATTTCGAAAACAATCTTGAATATGGTAAAAGATGTTATAAAGCCTGTTTTCAAATCATCGACACGGCCAACACAGAGTTTCAACTGGCAATGAAATTCCTACACATAAAATGGGAGAATACATACCTTAACAAACAAGTTCGCCAAGTCATCCTCACGCTATCTATCTAATTTAAATTTCTGACCATAGTCACTTTCGGTTATTCACCATAATCACACCATGCTTTAACAGAAACATGTTCCGAAAATTAAAACAATACTCTTTAATTTACCTGCTGTATAG